GGATGTCCCAGACGGACGACTGGCCTTCCTGCCAGCCTGGCCTCTAGTTCTCAGTTCAAGTGGGGAGGACTCTCGATGTCAACACAGGGGGCCATCCCAGGACTCAGCCCTGAAAGGGGAGATGGGCACCTGACGCACTAGGAGGGGAAGGACTTCAGAGGCCACAGTCCCTGGAGCATGCCTGCAGAGGTGGGCAGGGTGCCCAAAGGGTTTTCTGAATTTCGGGGAGTGCCACTGGCGGGCTGGGCTCTCCTTGGCGGGGCTGCTCACTGTCAGGCCAGCAGCGGATCAGGGAGCCCAAGACGCCCTGGGGTCCTGGGTCCTGGGACCCGGCCCCGGCAGGCACCAGGGTTTTCATTCTTGGTATCTCCTGCTTTCCGACTCCTCTTAAGCCATCGCGGCATTCCCCGTGCTCCAGGCTTAAGACCCGCAGAAGCCTAATGGCCCCCACACCCTGGCTAGCAGCTGCTACACTAACTAGAGATCTACAGTAGAGGGAGGTCCTGGGGCCCAAGATGAGGGCGTCCACCCAGGCTGGCAGGACAGGTCACCTGTTTTGTATCTTTTGTTTTACCAACAAAATAGCAAAGTTCTAATAAGATGGAATGTTTCAAAACACCAAGTATTTTTTTCAACTCCTCGACATTTTCAAAGAGAAGCAAGAGCTACTGTATCAGCTTCCTATAGCTGCTATAACAAGTCGCCACAAACTTGGTGTCTGGAAACAAACCCATAGTGCGTCACAGGGCTGTTCCTCCTGCAGGCTCCGGGGAAGGTCTGTCCCTTGCCGTTCCCATGGTCCAGAGGCCCCTGCGACCTGCTATGTTGGGACCACCCAGGTGACCCGGGGTCATCTCCCATCTCAGGACCCTGGACGGCATCCCGTCTGCGAAGGCCCCTCACCACCTCATGGCCACAGCTTCTTCAGGTTAGATGGGGACATCCTGGGGTGGGGGTCTATCCAAGCTGCTCCCTAGGGAGCTGCAGGTCACCTCTGCTCTGTGGGTCCCGGGGATGCTACCCACAAAGAGCTGACACCTGACTGTGGGTGACACACAAAACCACTGTGAAATGTGGAGACGTGTGGGGGTCAGCTTGACAGGTGGACAGGCAGTCCGCACAGGACCTCAGTGCCGGGAACGGGTCTCAAGGAAGCCTCAGCACACACCATCAGAGGGGTCAGCAGGGGCCGCAGGAGCACGCTCAGGAGGTGAGGACACAGCAGGACACTCAGGGGACAAGGGGCAGCCCTGAGCAGCCAGTGGCCACCACATGTTCCCAGGTGGAGCTACGGACTTGAGGTGGCCTGGTCAGCATGGTCAGCACCCCAGGATGAGCAGGACACATGTGTGCTCTGGGTGCCCCAGGAGCAGCGACATGGACAGGCCAGCATGCTGTGACCAGGGAGCTGTGGCCATGCGTGTGGCCCTGGGATGTTAGAGGTGCCTCCGTGGGACAGGCATCCTGGGTGGCCCTCTGAGAGGACACAGACTAGTGTGGGGCCCAGGAGGCCCTGGCACGGCGCCCGCCCACTGGCACTCACTTGAACATGGCGATGAGGAGGTTGAGCAGCAGGATGTTGGTGAAGAGCAGGTAGAGGCACAGCAGGAGGACCGTCAGCCACTCGGGGAAGGCCGGCGCCTGTCCCGCTGCGTCGCTCTCGGGGCACTTGGGCTTGTAGGGGTCTGTGCCATTGGGGCTGCACTGGTCCATGTTGAAGTTCACGCCTGGCATTGGGAGGGGGTGGGAAAGTCAGGGACAACACAGAGTCACAGGTGTGGCTGGAAGGCACCCAGCAGCCAGGCACCGCCAAGGGCCCCAAGGCCCGGCACGCGAACACCCAGTAAGCACAGCGCCAACTCAGGCCTGGACAAGTCCAATGAGCGCATCTATCCACATCCAAGCATCCTCCTCAGGGAGGACCCGTGAATGCCAAGGTTAGCCCAGAGCCAGAGATGCCCCAGGTTGGCATGCGTCAGGATCCAGCCCCCCACCTGGCACTTCTGAGGCCACAGTCATGGTGAGACACGGGTCCCGGCCCTGGGGGAATTCAATTTGGTTGAAAAGGATTTTAAAAGAAAAAAATTAACAACAGCATGAGAAAATCAAATACTTAGAAATAAATTTGACAGAAGGAGCGTAAGACTTGTACACTGAAACCGCAGACTGTTGTTGCAATAAACTAAAAATCTTAATAAGTGAAAAGACATCCTGTGTAACAATCCAAATTCCAGATTTTTTTTTAGAGAAATGGATGAGCTGGTCCAAAAATTCGTGTGGACCCCACGGGTCCAGAGGCCAAAGCAATCTGTAAAAGGAGGAACAAAGCTGGGGTACTGGCCCCCCCGATGTCAAAACTTACTACAAAGCTACAGTAAGCAGGACAGTGAGGGGCTGCTGAGGGACTGGCGTGCTGACTGACAGGGCAGAGCCGAGCATCCAGAAGTCAGCTCTGACCTTCAGTCGACAGGCTTTCAACAAGGATGCAGACAATTCAGTGAGAAAGAACCATCCTGTGAGCAGGCAATCCCTGACCGCTGAACACCCACACGCTAAAGAATGGCACTACGCACCCACCAAGGTCATTTAAATGGTCAAAGGACTGAAGAAGGAGCCAAAGCTATAGAAGTCTTAGAAGAAAAGCAGACATAAAAATCTCCGTGGCTGTGGGTCAGGTTTCATACACGGGACCACAAGCACAAATGGTTAAAAAAAAAGATTGTTCAGTTGATCTTCTCCAAATCAAAGATTTGCATGCTTCAAAGAGAGTGTTTTCCTAAAGAAAGTGAAAGATGTGGTGACAGAATGCAAATCCTCTATGTGCTGAGGGTCTGGTGTCACAATTCTCACTTCTCAACAAGAGAAAAACAATAAAGAACCGAGGGAAAGTGGGCGAAGGGCAGGACTAGCCGTTCTCCAAGGAAGGGGTGCTCGGCACGGAGCCCAAGGGAAAGCCAGTCAAGACCTCCTAAGCTGCCGCGGCCACCCACTGTGACGATGATGAGCAAGGACAGTCCTGGGTGCTGGCGAGAGATGGGGGCCTGGTCCCCTCAGAGGAGTGCGGCCACAGGGACTCCCATCAGTGTTCACGGCCACATTGTTCATAGGAGCCAGATGGCAGCAGCAACCCCGTGTTCACCAGGCTACGGGTGAGCAGCAACCGTGTAAAGCTTGCACAATACACTAGCGATAAAAGGAAGTGCCACACCGCGTCCCGCGGAGGGAGCCAGACGCCACCTTCATACCCATTTCCCTATTTACAGAAACCTCAGGGAGGCAGACGCAGGTCCACAGGAAGCAGACCACACTGCCCCACGCTGCAGGGAGGGGAAGGGAGGCCACTGCCCACGGGGAGGGGCGTCTCTTGGGTGACGTGAAGGCTCTAAAAATGCTCAGAGCCGTTGGCACGGATGCGGTGCAGGTGGCTGGCACGTGGCTCACGCGTAAGGACGCTGTTTAAAAACAGCAGCCACTCTACAGACGGGGGGACTTCTGCCTGGGGTGGGGGGACAGAGCAGCAGGTGGCATTTAACACTGGGGCTGGGGCTGGGGCTGACGCCCACACCCTGGCTCCCTGGTGACACCCTTGTGCCTCTATTGGGCCAATGTGCTGCTGACGGAGCACGAGCCCCAGCCCTCCCCATCCCCTGAGCGTCCCTGTCCCTCCCGTGTCCTAGCCCAGCCGCGCCCAGTGCCTACCATCAATGTAGGCCGGGATCTGGCCGAAGATGGTGAGGTAGGAGTGGTAGACGACCCCTCGGAAGATCCAGTCCACCCGGCTCTCGTTGTGGATGAGGATGGCCTGCTTGGCCACCCCGAAGGACACCACCCACACGGCCAGCAGGAAGAGGAAGAAGAAGACGTCCTTCATCTGCAGAGACAGGCACCAGCTGCCGTGCGCCCGTGCTCCTCGGCCTGCCCGGGGAGCTTCCCGCAGTGCCCAGCCGTGGCGGAAGACCACCTCCACCACGCGTGGACACGGGAGGCCAGGTTCCTCGGGCAGCAGCTCTGGGCCACCTTATCCCCATAGAGCTCACCAACCCCACGGGGGAGCCCCTGGGGCAAGGGGGTCAACAACCCCGACCCGGGGGGATGCACCGCAGGGGAACAGGGTGGGAGCCAATGCAGGGCGGGAAGAGCAGCCGAGACGACCTGGAGGAGGGGGCCGCAGGGGCAGAGATATGAGGGGTTTGGGAGCCCAGGGCGCAAGGCCAGGCCGGGCGGCCCCTCCCTTACCATCCGCTTCACGATGATTATCTTGGGCCCCAGGGTCTTGCTGACAGTAAAAATGTGCATCAGGCGGAGGCAGAACATGATGAAGGCCAGAGAGAGGATGATGCGTCCCGGGTACAGGGTGGACGGGATGAGCCTGGCAGCCGGGTAGGGCAGGGACACTGGCCTCAGGCTCTGCTCCCCAGACCACTGTGGCTCCAGAGCCTGCCCCTAGGTCTGTCTAGCACTGGGGGCTCTGGGAGCCCCGAGGGCGAGGTCAAGACAGAGCCTCTGGGACTCTTCTTCAGAAGGGTCCAGACGCCCAGCCTCAGCAGGGCAGCCAGGCGGGGACGTCCTGGGAAACAGGATGCTTGTCATGGAGAGAGGGTGCCGCAGCCTCCCAGACCAGGGCCACAGGGGCTAAGAGTGACCCAGCAGGAGGGGTGGGGAGCAGAGGGTCTGGGGAGGGGCACTCCTGGCTGCAGTTGGTGGCCCTGCCCGTGGGTGCCATCCAAGGTGGGCTCCCCCACACCCCTGAGGGCAGACAGAGCAGGACCATCACATCACCCAGGGACGATGGCGGTCTGAGGCTCAGAGCAGAGCCAAGCCCTGGGCGGAGGCTGAGCTGCTGGGGATGACGGCGCCACACAGGGAGGGCAGAGGGCCTGGGGCAGCTCACCGGCAGGTCAGCCCCACTATGAAGAGCAGGATGGCAGCCACGTCCAGCTTGTTCCAGAAGTCGCTGAAGTACAAGGATGCCATCTTCCTCAGCCCGCACTCGTCAGGGTCGTAGAAGAGCTGCGGGAGAGGCCGAGAGGCCGTCACCACGTCACACGGGCACCTCACACTCCCTTCCTCAGTGGGCGGTGAGAGGGGCGGGGAGCGGGTCAGGGCAGAGCGGGCAGCATGGGCAGCGGGTTCTCTCCAGGCTCTGCTGCCAGCTGGAGCCCTCCCTCCAGCCCGTGACCTGCCCGCGAGACGCGTGCGTGCCTGTGCACACGTGTGTGCGTGTGTGCGTGTCGTGCCAGCAGCTCCCCGGGATCTGCTCTGGCAGCAACTGGGCCTGTTCTCTGAGGCAGCCCAGAGTGGAGGGGGCCAGGAGGGGGCCAGGAGGGGGCCCGGAGCCCTGTGGCTGCCCAGGAGGAGCCCCACCCCCGGTGGCAGATGTCCTCCCCGGGTCTGAGGACAGCCCGTTCCTTGTCTGAGGCTCCCCCTGCCAGGCTGGGCTGGGGGAGCATGGAGACCTCCGGCCCCTCGAGGAGAGATTCCGACTGCAGAAGGAGGCACTTGGAGAAACGGCTGGCCAAGCAGGACCCGGCACCCTCCCGACCTGCCCAGTCCAGCCCTGTGCTTCCTTCCTGGGGCTGGCTCCTCCCCAGGGACCCCCAACAGGCAGGATGTTAACCCAGGGTAAGCAGGACTTCTCTCCGAGGCCTGCAAGGTCAGCAACCAGAGGTCACGCTGACCAGAACCTTCTCCCATAGGGCCTAGCCCAGCCCTGAGGGACACATCAGCCCAGCCCATCGACCTGCTGCCGCTAGGTGCTGGCATCTTAGATCTGCAGTGGGGACTCTCCACGCTGACCGGGCCCAAAGGCACTCAGGAAGTCCTGGAAGATGGCCCCAGAGCGCAGAGCTGGGCACGTGCTGCCAGGCAAGCTCGTCTTCATTACCTGGGCTTGGGCCACTCCAGGTGGCCCAACAGTGAGACGGGGCGAGGGGCAGGTGGGCTGTGCAGGGCCACTTGACCTCTGGAGGGGCCAAGGTCAGCCAAAAGGGTGCTCAACCAGTCTTTGTGACAGACACCCAGTAAAAGCCCTGGGCACTGAGGCCCCAGGGAGTGTCCCTGGTGACATTGTCCCATGAGGGTTGTCACACGTCCTTCCTGGGAGAATGAAGTGCTGCACAGCCGCACAGGGAGGACCCAGGAGGTCTGGGTGCAGGGCTGTCCTGGGGTGGCCCCCTGCCCTTCCCTCGGCGGGCTTGAATCTGCACTTAGGCTGGGAAGAACGGGAGGGTGGGGACTCAGCCAGCCCAGCTCCCACAAGTGACGCAGCCTGAGTGGCCCAGGACCCCACACCCAGCCACGCCCTTCTCAGGGGTGAGAGCCAAACACCCACCCAAAGCCCCTCTGGTGCCAGGAAGGAGGATGTCTGTGGGGTGCCCCCTGCCAGGCCCCGCTGGGCGACCAGGGTGCCTCCTCTGCCCAGGGCCCCACTGGCTCCCAAGGGCCGGGTGAGGCTCCTCAGGGATGGGCCAAGGGTCCACTGTGAGAAAGCGGCCAGGCTGGGTCTCCCAGGCAGGGAGTGCCTGACGGACACCGTGTGCCACCATGGGGAGGGGTCCGAGGACTCTGAGAGTGCAGGGCAGGCACACCTGCCGCGTCTCCTCGCACACCAGGGAGAAGAGCCAGAGGTAGATGAGGCACTCGCACCAGGAGGGCGTGGGCTGGAAGTCCACCATGAGCACGTAGGCCAGGAGGCACAGGAAGGCAAAGTAGGACAGGATGTTCAGGTGGAAGATGACCACGGGCGCGTTGAAGAAGGCACGGGCGCGGGCGGGGCCGCCGAGGGCCTGCAGCCTCTTCTCCCTGCAGGTGCGGCAGCAGACACCAGAGGGCGCACGTGAGGGGCCGAGGGTGCCACAGTCCCACCCATTACCACCAGGGGGCCCCATTCCCCTGAGATGTGACCCAGGAGTGGAAGGTGTTGGGGGGTGTCACCTGGCATGAGAGGTCACACGGCGGTTCTGGAGAGACCCTCACAACCAGCCTTGGTCTTTCTGGCCCTCTGGACCCAGGACCCACCCCCACAGCCACAGGAGAAGGGGTCGGACCCACAGCCCAACACAGTGAGGACCCAAAGGTCAACCCCTCCACATCTGCCCAGGGCCACGGACACGGTGACTCCCACTGGGGGGCAGTATGAGCCCAGCCCGATGTGGAGCCCACCTGCAGTCTCCTGGTGCTGGGTGGACACTCAACCTCAGGTGCCCCCATAAGGGGGGACCAGATGGCCACCCGGGCTGGGGCCCCAGCTCTGTCCCTGGGCTCCCATCCAGTTCCCAGTAAAACAGGCTGAGAGCTCAACTGGACGCCACTTGCTTCTGAGGAGGCCACAGGGGATGCTGGGCCAGGCCTGAACCTGCAGCCACCATCAGCCACCACTGTCCCCTCCTGGTTGGAGACTACTCCGCCCAAACAGGCTGTGCACCCACAGCACAGGAAGGCTCTCCACCTCGGGGCACTGTGGCCCACCTGGACTGGCTCAGGTCGGTGCCAGGGGCCTTGATGTGCTCCACCCTCCCCATCCCCAGGAAGCTAAGGCTGTGGGTCAGGCTGGCCAGCACTCCACCTCTGGCAGGTGGGTGGCACTCGGGGGTGTCGGGGGCGTGGGGGTGGGGCCCGTGGGTGTGGGAGCCCGTGGGTGTGGGGACCCGTGGGTGTGGGGGTCCGTGGGTGTGGGGGCCGTGGGTGTATGGGGCGTGGGTGTGGGGCCCGTGGGTGTAGGGGCCATGGGTGTGGGGGCCCGTGGGTGTGGGGCCCGTGGGTGTGGGGGGCGTGGGTGTGGGGGTCCGTGGTGTGGGGGTCCGTGGTGTGGGGGGCATGGGTGTGGGGGGCGTGGGTGTGGGGGGTGTGGGTGTGGGGCCCATGGGTGTGGGGGCCCGTGGGTTTGGGGGCCCGTGGGTGTGGGGCCTGTGGGTGTGGGGGGTGTGGGTGTGGGGCCCATGGGTGTGGGGGTCCGTGGGTGCGGGGGCACATGAGTGTGGAGGTCCATGGATGTGGGGGGTCCGTGGGTGTGGGGGTCCGTGGGTGTGGGGGTCCATGGGTGCGGGGGCCCATGAGTGTGGAGGTCCATGGATGTGGGGGGTCCGTGGATGTGGGGGGCCATGGGTGTGGGGGGCCATGGGTGTGGGGTCCATGGGTGTGGGGGGCCATGGGTGTGTGGTCCGTGGGTGTGGGGGTCCGTGGGTGCGGGGGCCCATGAGTGTGGAGGTCCATGGATGTGGGGGGTCCGTGGGTGTGAGGGGTGTGGGTATGGGGGTCCGTGGGTGTGGGGGGCATGGGTGTGGGGGCCATGGGTGTGGGGCCCATGAGTGTGGGGGCCCATGGGTGCAGGGGCCTGTGGGTGTGGGGCCCGTGGGTCCTCCCTCCACCTCCTGCCCACGTGCATCCCAACCACCCTAGGGCCCTGGCACAGCGGCAGGACCCAGGCCCCTTGCTCCCAGGCCCCCAGGAGCACCCACAGCCCCGAGGCCCGCGGCCCCGCTGCACCTGAAGGAGACGAGGCCAGTGAAGAGCAGCGGGAAGGCCAGCATGCACAGGATCACCCGCCACAGCCCGTTGTCCACGCAGAGCTGGCCCCACCACACCTTGGTCAGGAAGGCCTGTGGACAGCGGGGGTCTTGGGTGGGTGGGCACCCCAGCCTGCCTGATCCCACCTCTCATCCCACCCAAGGGTGACACCACACCCTCGGTGACCACCAGGGTGCGCTCTGAGCCCCCGCTGCAGGTGGCCAGCACAGGACAGGTGCCTTTGCAGGACGGGCTCCAGAGGGGCAGAGCTGGGCGGTGGTCCACAGTGGTAAGGGGAGGACAGTGGGTCTCACACCAGTGGGGGTCCACCTGTGACTCCCGTCCGTCTGTCCTCCCTTCTAGAGCTGAGGGCGCCATCCCCGCAGGTCCCCAGGCCCCTCAGTCCCAGGCTCTCACTGGGACTCAGCTGGCCCTCTAAGCCCCGGGGGTGGGGCCAGGACTCCTCCTCCCCAGGTCACATGGAGCCGCCTGGACGCGGGGACAGCCTGACGCTGTGCTGGGAGGAGCCCCCAGAGTTGGGGACGTGCCCTGTGCCAGGCTTGGTGGCCCCTGCCCTGCTCTGCAGCAGCAGTGACCTGCCCCGTCCCTCCCGAGGCCTGGAGGCTGTGACCGTCCCAGAGCACCCAGGCACTGCCGGCGGGCCTCAGCGGTCACCTGGATGCCGCCGTGAGAGACGAACTTCATGTCCTTGGCCTCCAGGGCCAGCTGCAGGCAGGTGGTCTTCCCCCAGGCCTCCGACACGCGGATGAGCAGCTTCTGGGCTCTCTCTTCATCCTTCCGGTAGCACTCGGTGAAGACCCCTGGGCAGAGGAAGATCTGAGTCAGAACAGCAGGTGACAGTCACCAAGCCTTGGGGAGAGTCACAAAGCCAGCCCTCCAGAGGGCACCCTGGACTGAGATTTTGCACATGGGGGCAAAACAGGCAGGTGGAGCTGATGCCGCCAAACACCCAGGCCAAGAGGCAAGAACCCCAGGGCGACAGCAGGTGTGTGAGCCAGGGTCTGGGCCCAGTGTCCCTCAGCGCTCACCGATGGCTCTGTGTTCAAACTCGTCCGCCAGGGCCAGCATCTCCTCCGAGCTATCTGTGTCCTCCTCCTCCTTGGACAGCTCCTTGAGGATCTTACTGCACGCCAGGGCGGCGGCAATGCAGTCCTGGCTCTGGGGACACCAGGGGAGCAGTGAGGCCTGGAGCCAGCCAGGGCCACCCCTGCCCAGGACCAGGCACAGCCAGGCACAGTGTGGGCTGTTACAATGGCCTGCAACCACTGCTGATGGCCACCTGCTACACCGACCACGGAGACATCTGCTTGCCCTACACTACCCTAGTGGACAGATGACATGGCACGTACCCTGGCCTACGAGGACCTGGAGGGGCCACAAAGGACAGTCTTCCCACAGGCCTTGGCCCTGGACATGACAAGTTTGGCCCTGGACATGACAAGTTTGCTTGGCAGGCCTTTTTTTAATCATTTATTTATTCTAGTTTGTTATATATGAGGGCAGAATGCAATTCACTTCACATTGCACACACACAGCACAATTTTCCAAGTCTCTGGTTGTACACAGAGTATTTTCACACCATTCGTGTCTTCATACATGGACTTGGGGTAATGATGTCTGACTCATTCCACTGTCTTTCCTACCCCCACGCCCCCTCCCATCCCGTCCATTCCCTTTGCCCAATCTAGAGTCCCTCCGTTCCTCCCAAGCCCCCCCATCGCCATTATGAGTCAACATCCTCATATCAAAGAAAACACTCGGCCTTTGGTTTTTGGGGTTTGGCTTCTTCTCTTAGCCTGATACTCTCCAACTCACCCATTTACCTGCAAGTGCCATGATTTTATTCTCTTAACGCTGAGCAATGTTCCACTGTGTATATACACCACAGTCTCCCTATCCGTTCATCTACCAAAAGCTGTGTCCCTTAGTATTGGAAGGATTTTTTAAAAATGATAAAATAAAAAGATTTCCTTCCTAGAGCAAAGTTCTTGTTTCTGCAACACAGGGCACTAAGTCCTGCTGTGACCAGACCCCACTGCCCTCCCTGCACAGCTGTGGGGGGCCCCACTTGCTGTGGGCACTGGGCTTCCTTCCATTGGTCAATAGCCTATAGTTGTGTTCCAAGAAGCAAGTCTTATTACCTGTGCCCAGATGATGCCCGCTAGCTCCCGGCGGTTCTGGACGATGGCCCAAATGAGAAGGTCCCGAACCGGGTCCATGGTGAAGGTGACATGGCCCGATGAGCGCTTGTAGAGGGACCGGAGGCTCACTCCCTGCACCTGGGGGCAGCGGACAGCCCAGGTCCCACCGAGGCCCACTGGCATCAGAAGCCAGGGCTGTCGGAACACCCGTCCTGCCCCGTCCCGGCCTCAGGGTCACTGTCCCAGAGACTGAGAGCATAGCCTGCATTTTCAGCAGCCCAGGTCATTCTTACACACACCGCAGTTCGAGGGCCACTATTCCAGAGACATGGAGAAACTTCTGGAACGGGGGTACCCATCTGTCTCCTTTACGGACACTCTGAGACCCTTGTAACGTGCCATGAGCTCAAAGCCCATCTGATGGCACCCTAGCTCTTTCAGTGAGTGAATCCTGCAGTCCCCGAGCAGGACTGTGGCCGTGAGCTCTGCGAGGGGACCCCACATGGTGTCTCCTGCAGAGAGGAACTCAGGACAGGCAGGGACAGCGAGGGTCCCATCTGAGCAGCACGTGACAGCACAGACACTGAGCCCACTCAGCAGCACCAGAACCCACTCCCAGCCCCATGGTCATGTTCTCAGATGGCCAGGAAACAGCTCCCAGAGGTGGAGGGCAATCCCCACATCAAGAAGGGCAGAGCTGGGTCTGTGCGACCAAGCAGCCGCCCCGTCTCCCCAGGTCAGCCGCGGCTCGCCCGGGCCAGCGGTGTGTTGCCAAACCTGGAGGAGGCAGAAAGTCGCCTAGTGGACAGAAGACAAAGCCAGGTGCCATCTTAGAAGAGACAGAGCATCCAGACCAAGACACAGCCAGAAGGAAACCGAGAGAGTCGTGAGACCTCCTCACAAAGGACTCTGGGCCACACGCACTCGTGGGAGGCTTCCACGCCGGGAGGAAGACCTCGCTCCAGCCACATAGGCGCCTCTAGAGCCGAGGAAGAAAACCCGTGGCTTCCACAGAGCCACCATGAGCCAATGTCAGGACACAGCAAACACAGCCCCAAGACAAAGCTGCAGCCCAAGGCGCGTGCCCTGTGCGGCAAGAGCCCGAGGACACGGGCACAGAGCACCTCGTAGCACAGCTCGGCTACGGCTGGGCCGAGGTTCAAAACAGGAATCGAAGCACATTCTATTCTCAGGAAAATGACTACATGATCCACCCGACTCAGGAGTCAAAGGTCACTCCTTCCACAGGCACCTGGCAAAGCTCAGGGCAGTCAGGAGCCGACGCTGCCCAGGCACAGCACACGCACGTGCAGAGAACACATCCCAGCACTGGACGAGACCACCTTCCGCGGTCCACGTGCATGGCCACGTGTCACAGGCGCAGTGGGACGTTCCTGACCCAGCTGCAGGAAATCCAGGAGCACCTGGGGAGCAGGCCGGGCTCCGGCAGAGTTGGCCTCTCCCTGAAACCTTCTCTACCGCTTGGAACTTCGAGGAAGGCGGCGTTAAGAGCATTGCTGGGCCCCCTAAGATTCTCTGTGGAAGCCCTAACCTGGGGTGCGACCCGACCTTGGGATTTGGACACAAGGCCTTTAAGAAGGTAATGACATAAAGCGAGATTCCCGAGGGGGCCCTACTCAACAGAACTGGCTTCCTTATAAGAGGAAGAGACCAGAGATGGGTGTCTCCCTCCCAACCCTCCCTGTCTCCACCTGAAGCCACCTGCAGCAGGAAGGGACGCCCAGCCCCGTGGGCACTGTGACCTGGCACTCCTGGCCTCAGGACTGTAGGAACATTAATTTCTGAGGTTCGCGCACACCTTCCCCCGCTGGCCACCCGTGTAGCCAACTGCCAACACCCAGAGCTCTGGGGCAGAGCCTGGCGCAGCGTTACCGGGACTCACGTTGAGCTTGATGTGAGGCACGGGCAGCGAGAGCCGCGGCCGGTCGCTGTGCCGGGGCCTGGGGTACAGCGGCTGAGTGGAGTCCCCCAGGAGCTCCCGCAGCACCTGGGCCACGTGGTGCATCTGCAGCTGGGCGGCGGGCGCGCAGGCCAGGCGCTCCTCGGCCAGGACCTTGTGCAGCTTGCAGTGGAACAGGCAGGAGGGCTCCAGGTTCTCGTACAGGTAGAGCAGCGTGTCCCAGGTGACGAACTCCTTCAGCCGCACCCCGTTCTCCAGGAACAGCTTAACGAACTCGGGCTTGTTGGAGATGAGAGCAGCCGTCATGGTAGGGTGCAGATCTGAGGGCTGAGAGTGAGCCCGTGGGTGGCCGTCACACGGGTCGCTGCCTGGCGGAGCCGACCTCAGTGACCTGACGGGCTGCCCTTGCCTCCAGTCTGGAGAGGACGGAGCCGGCCTAGGTCACCCGCCCCAGGGATTGGTCTGGCTTCCGAGGAGGACTCATGGGCCCAGCCGGTCCCTCCAGGGGACTCACCTTCCATTGCCACTGGTCAGTGAAGATCTCACTGCGGGCGATGTCCACGCGGTTCCAGGCCACGGCCAGCTTCAGTTGATGGTCCCAGTTCTCATGGCCAAAATGGTCTTGGCTCCGAGAGGCTGCGGGTGAGGGCAGGGGTCAGTCCTCCACCTGGGGCTCGAGGGGGAGCTGGGGACGGGGTGGTGGACTGCCTCTCAGTGACTCAGCCGCCTGGATCCCCCGACACGCCCCGGGAAGCTCTCTTCACTCCAGGCTGGAGCCAGAGAACGTTGGGCTCTGGGCCTCGCACACCCACCCCAGTCCAGCCACGCCCCTCACCACAGGTGGGAGGGACGGGAGGGACGAGCTCACGGCGCACGGAGCGCGAGGGCCTCCGGAGGGTGGCCCTTCACCTGAA